ACACAGGCACAAGACATCATAGCAACACCCACAATCTAAGCCTTGGCACCTGATTGACTGTGTCTTCATCTGTGCCCCGGACTGCAAAGATGTCCACATCACCTGGGCTATGCTGGGAGCTGATGATTGCTGCAGTGGTCACCAATTTATCCACTCACGGAACTATGATGTGATTGGAATAACAGAGACTTGGTGGCATAGCTCGCATGACTGGAGCACTGTCACGATTGGGTATAAACTGTTCAGGAAGGGCAGGCAGGGGAGAAGAGAAGGAAGAGTTGCTCTTTATGTAAAAGAGCTGTATGACTGCTCAGAGCTCCAGATGGGCTTATTTAGTCTAGAGAAGAGAAGACTGAGGGGGATTTAATAGCAGCCTTCAACTATTCAAAATAGGATGGAGCTGGACTGTTCTCAGTGGTGGCAGATGACAGAACAAGGAGCAGTGGTCTCAAGTTGCAGCAAGGGAAATTTAGGTTACATATTAGGAAAAACTCTCTCAGAAGGAGCGTATTAAAGCACTGGAATAGGTTACCCAGAGAGGTTGTTGACTCTCTGTCCATGGAGGTTTTCAAGACTCAGCTACACAAAGCCTTGGCTGCAATGATTTAGTTGGGGATGGTCCTGATTTGAGCAGGTGATTGGACTGGATGACCACCTGAGATCCCTTCCAACCCTATTTTTTTTTATGATTCCATGATTCTATGATCAACCAAGATATAGGGCAACCAAAATTGGATTAATCAAAATGCTACCCAGATAGGAGGTTGAAGAGTTATTCATGAGAGGCTGCACTGGCAGGCAAGGAACGGAGGGAGAGGCCAGGGAGGGTGGGCAGAGGTAGGAAATCGGAGAACTATTTAGCTCTTCATGGAGATGAAAATATAATTGTTGGAGATGTGTTTGATAAAGGAGATCCTTTGAGTTTAGTAACTACCTGTGTAAAATGCTTGCCTTTGTACCACAGAACAGTTCACTCACATCTCTAGGCTCATCTTGTCATTTTATTGCTGAGTCTGAACTGATAGAAGGGTTTTCCCCAAACACTTATCAAAACAAATCCAAAACCCCCAAAAAGGATTTGTGGAAGGCTACTAAAGGGCACGTATGAAGTAGTAGAAGCGTTAGCAGGTGTTTGTACCTACAACGTGCAGACACAGATAGGCACATGCTGACTTCATTCTGGGCATGTCCAAGTGGATTCAATCCAGATGCTTGTCTGAAAATGTACCCATTTCCTACAATAATGGATAAAATGTAAGGTCAATGACCTCTATGAATAACTTTGGGTTTGAGAACAATGTAACATTTTTACAACTCATAACTATGCAACTATCAGGCACACAAGGGTAATCATTAGAAAAGAGCTTCCTTGTTTTAGAGAAACATTGTGCTCCAATATCATTAAATTTCTCTTTAGCAGGGTGCTATAGGACAAAGCAGGCCTTTTTCACCATCCAAGACACCTTATTTCAGATGATTTTATTTAATGACATGAAATTACTGACTCCGCCTGTATTTATAAAACCAAGCATATCTATCAAATGTTAATTAATACTCAAATAAAATGGACACCTTCTTCCCTGCCTCCCCAAGCAAACATACCTTTAGTTCTGGATAAATGACAATGAAGTACCTAAGTAACTCTTTGTCTTCTGACTATCTGGTGGACATATAGATGGTGTGTCGGGGGCGGAGTACAAAATACCTGGATCCAGGGTTTGTATGTGGCCCAGAGCTAAGAGCAACTAAAATGGAAAAGGAAACTAAACAGCTCAGGGTATTTCAGTTATAGCTCTCCTACCCCTACAACTTCCAGCAGCAGGAGCAAAAGCCCTGGTGTGCAAAGTTTAAATATATCCTGGCCTTAGGGCTGACACTTATCCTCTTAGGGTGCATCCACACATGCAGGCATGTGCACTTCCAGCAGCTCAAATAACAGCAGCACAAATTTGTGCCGCAGGTTTGTGCCTCACCACACGTACCTGACATGTCGTGAGGCACAAATCTGGCATTTGCTGGCCCTAGCAGTATAAAATGCTGCCCTGGTGAGCAGCTCAGGGTTACTTGCCCTAAGGAGCTTCTGAGACTCAGCCAGTTAGTACCTGGGGACATTAGCCCCTTGTGCCGGCTAGACTGCTGAAGCAGCCCTAACCTAGAGTAGCCCCTGCACCCTCTACCCACTGCAGCAGTCTGGCAGTGGGGGCTGCTGCCTGGCTATGACCTGTTGCCATCTGTGACAGCATCTGCCCCCTTAGACCTGCAACCCCATGGCTGTATGCCTGCCAGACCCAGATGCGGGCCAAACAGCTGCCTGGGCTCTGGTATGGGCACTGCAACAGAGAGGCCTGCACCTCTGGACCAGTTGCTAGTGGGCCATGGCTGCACAGTTGGCCTTTGGGTGGCACTGCTGTCATGTCTTCTGGTGTCCCCGCTCCGCCATCTGGGCAGCTATCGCCCAGAAGATGTGCTCCTTGTGCTGGTCCGCTTCAAACTGCTTTTGTTTTTTTTATCATAGAAAAATCAGAGCTGCCCCTCTCCCCCTTTGCTTACCAGGATGTGGGGCACTGAGTAGCACTGATATGCCAGCATCCTGTTCCTACCTTTGCCCCTCACTCCTGACCCGCAACCCCTGCTTGCCCCCACTAGCTCCCTCCTGGCAGCAGGTGCACCCCAGCACCAGGACATGAGTCCAGCTGCAGCTGTCCCACCTGCTGCTTTGTGGCTGTGAGTAGTGCCAGTCCTTGCTGTTCTCTTCCCTGCACCCAGGCCCCAGCAATCCCCATGCCGTTTCTGGGAAGCCCTCAACTGGGGATCAGGGACTGGATGGAGCCAGCCTGGCCTGACGGTGCATGGGGCACATGGAGGTAGGACCCGGCCAGGTCTGAGGGCACACAGCCCCTACGTGTGACACTGAAAGCTGCGGGTGACAGCAGGAGCTGGCCTGGTTCTGTCCAAGGGTGCATGGGCGGGACCAGACTAGCGCCTTGTGCAGCTGCCGTTTGGAGCCAGCCCCATGCCACCGGGGGTCTCTGCCAGCTGCTGTGCTGCAGGGTGGCTGTGTGCCATGCGAGGGAGGTGGGTGGGAGACCCAACCCTCCTGAGCAGCCATCCCACCCCCCTGTCCCTCCACCCCCCACACACACAGTGTTGTGTTCCCTGCCCATTCCACCGCCACTTACCTTGGACAGCGCCTGGGTCTGAGCCACTGCCAAAGCTTTGCCTAGCTCCTATTTGCCCCAACAATTTGCCGGAGCAGCAGGGGAAGAGGGCAGGTATAGAGATGCTGTGGCCGGGTGCCAGAGCATCTCTTTGGAGGATCCAGCCTCCATTTGCCTGTGGTGCTTTGGCCAGGGGCGGTTTTTTATTTTTATTTTTATTTTTTTTTATATACCAGGATTTCCCGGTATCAAAATTAGAGCCTGCATTGCAAATATACAGCACAGGGCACATTTTTTCATTCCCAGCATGCCTCTTGCAGCATCTCAAACTGCTTTGAGGCACCACAACAGCCATGTGCTCTCTCATCTGGATGCAACCTTACAGGCTACCTCAGGTACCCTTAGGTAAGTACCGCATAAGAGTACAAAGTGCAGTCAGTTCCTCCTGCTGGCTCTCAATAAAAGTGCAATGGCTTAACATAGATGCTGTTGTCCCTGGTGGACTACCAGCTTTTTTGGCATTAATCAGAATTGCATTTATAGCATGCTTTGAAAGGACTCATCTGAAACCAGAGCAATTCTGCAGCGGGGAAGGCTTTGGCCTTCTATTAATAAATGCTTAGACATAGAGCCCCATCCAAGTGGATGTGAAGGTGAGGAAGTTGAAGGTGTGACTTCTTCCTCTCCACCTGTGATGGCAACCACTGTTTACTGGAAACCGCATGGCATGTCTGTGGGCGCGTATAGGCGGGGATCTGGCTGTTTTCTGGGTGTGACCACAGCACTGCAATTTCTGGAATGCAGCTAGACTGAAAAAAGGAACAAAGTCCTGATGCTCGCCAGGGAGATCAGTCTATGACGCCAGTAACTATTACTTACTGGCATAACTATCTCTCCAGGAATGTTGCCACCTGCAACCCACAATCTCCTGTGTGGTATAGTTTAAAATGAGGATTTTTTTCCCCTCGCGTATTGCCAAGCCATTGTTGCCTGACAGTATCCTTGACAGGCAAGAAAACAAACATGCTGACACGGCCTTGAAACAGGGAAGGTGGTGATATGTATCAAAAGGCAGCCAGGGATGCTATATATAGCTTGCCAAACTTAGGTGAGCTGAAGGATTACATCAATTCCCAAGCAAGATCATCTAGTTGGTGCGAGGGGAGCTGAAGCTATACCCAATCCAAGCCCTTCCATTTACCCTCCCTACCCATCAGGGGAACTGATGGAGGACATCAACAAAACCTGTGCCCAAACTGATGTACTTAGTCTGTGTACCCTGTGTCCTGCAAACAGAGACAGTGTCCACATACCATGGATTATGCTATGACATCAGGGGACAAGAAAGTCTCTGTTTAGTCACGGAATTGTTTAATTTGTACAATGTCTATAAGCTGTTCCTCAAGCTAAAGCACTGGTGTTAATGTCACATCGTGCTGCAATTCACCTGGGATGTTTGTGACTCATATGCCTGGGGGGAGAACACACTTTGGATTTAATGAAACATGTGACCATGAGCATTACAGTTTGTCCCACAAAAGCTCACACAATACAGTTCCCAAATTATGGTCTGTGAGCTCATCGGAGGTGGGCCACTATGGCTCCAAGCTCCGCACGCTTTCAGAGCCTTCAGGGTAAAGTCTGAATGAGAGTGTGCCCTAAGAGACATGTTGAGATCTGACAGGTCCCAGAAGTGTGGGAAACACTGCAATGGGTTATATTTTAAAATGATTGTCAGTCCACGTATGCTGGGGGAGGGAAGCTTAGAAAAGGATCCCACTCTGTTCAGTACACTCTCCAGAACGTCTCTGCTGACATTTCCCAGTTCTGCCAAGATCGTACCTGCTCAGTGATGAAGGAGCTTGAAAAGGTGACAGCTGACCAGAAGAAGATCCCACAGCTGAGAATGATCTTTCGGTTGAAACGGTCACCAAGGTAACCAAATATAGGGGCTGCCACCATGAAACTACAGATAAAAACTGCAAAGGAAAGAAAAAAGGGAGGACACGTTTAATAAACATCAGGCCAAGAACATGAAAACTAATTTTCTGCAAGCCCAGTTCCCAGGAGAGCAGTTCCACTTAATTAGATGTTCTGCAGCCAGCTCTGATGCGCAAAGTTCCGTATGCTGATAGGCTTTCTGAAGACATAGTTTCCTTAATCAAACATATTTTTCACTCCCAAGGAAACTTCAGAGCGGGGTACTTGGATTAAATTTACAAGCATTTCTGCCCCTCACAGTCCGCTATGAACTTAGAACCAGGGAACGGGAACAGAGTAAATTAAGAGCGTCCACCCAAACCTCAGCATGATGCTAAAACACACATAGAAGGGAAGTGAGGAGCCTCTTGTTGGCAGCCTCAACTGAGATGCCAAGGGTGATATGGGCTAAGGAGACTAAACTCCTCCCTAACCTCCAGAAGCAGCCTCTACCATTCCCCTAGCTGCACTTGCAGCGTGGCTAAACAAAATGCACCAATCCCCAGTCAACACTAATCTTTGATTTAAACTGTTGCATGACCCAGCAGTGCATGCCTCACCAAGTAACTATTCCACTACAAGAAAGAGTTTTGACTTCTAAAGTCAAAGCATCATGGGACCTACTTATCTGAAAGCAGGGTTGAGTCTCTCCATGTTTTGGTAGCATTGCAGTGACATTGTAGTTGTGATGGCCCCGGAAAGATGCGAGAGAGGCAATACATTTGTGGATGATATCTTTTATTGGACTAATTGCACAGAAGGGATGGACTCAGACAAGCTTTTGGGCATCACAATCCCCTTCCTCAGGTTTGGGTGAGACACCCAAGAAAGGGTACTATGATACCCTTGTCTCAGTATCCCAAGCTGCAGTTGGTCTAGTAAAAGATATCACCCACCAAAAGTCTTGCTATGTCCCCATGTCATTTTGACTCAGCCCAATCAGCCAAGATACCAGGGCAGAGCCCCAATCATGTAAGAGAGAAGGCAACTGGCAGAGATCTTCTATTTCAGAGTGCCCATCTCTAGCATGGTCCAAAATAGTCCTTGGCTCTTGTCTCTACTGAATCTAATGACACAGCTGTGAACACCCAACGTGGACATTCACACTAGCTCAAACACCCATCAAGGTACTCCACCTCAGGGAAAAAAACCCTGCAGCATTCTTATAGGCTCGGCAGTGCTACGCTTGCTAGCACCACTGCTGAAAGAGACTTGGGGGTCATGACTGACCACAAGATGAACGTGAGCCACCAATGCAATGTTGCAGCTGGTAAAGCGAACAAAACCCTGGCTTGCATCTATAGATGCTTCTCAAGTAAATGTCAGGATGTCATCCATCCGCTGTACTCGGCCTTGGTGAGGCCGCAACTGGAGTACTGTATCCAATTCTGGGCTCCACAATTCAGGAAGGATGTGGAGAAACTTGAGAGAGTCCCAAGGAGAGCCACGCGCATGATCAGAGGGCAAGAGAACAGGCCTTAAGAAGAGAGGCTGAGAGCCATGCAACTCTTCAGCCTGGAGAAGCGCAGGCTCAGGGGTGACCTGGTGACTGCCTATAAGTACATATGGGGTGTGCATCAGGATCTGGGAGAATGTCTGTTCACCAGAGCGCCCCAAGGAAAAACAAGGACCAACGGTCATAAACTCCTCCAAAACCGTTTTAGGCTGGACATAAGAAAAACTTTCTTTACTGTCCGAGCCCCCGGGACCTGGAATAGACTCCCTCCAGAGGTGGTGCAGGCACCTACTCTGGACTCATTCAAGAAATGCTTGGATGCTTATCTTGCTGGGATCCTTTGACCCTAGCTGACTTCCTGCCCCTGGGGCAGGGGGCTGGACTCAATGATCTTCGAGGTCTCTTCCAGCCCTAACATCTATGATATCTCAATTTGGCTAGAAAACAGTTAATCTGAAAACAATATAGACAAAGTTTAAACCAGTTTAAATGTGTCTACACTAGGTGTTTGGATCTGTGTAATTGCACTGATTTTGCATTAATGTAGTTATACCAATGCAACTTTCCTTAGAGATAACACCTAGTTTATTGACCTTCATGGGACACTGCAAGGCCTGTTTGTTTTCCTGAGCTGTGGGGGGACTGGGGGGACACCGGAAAGACTGGAATCAGTGACTATTTAGTCACTGGGCTATAATTCATATTAATTACTGGGTGGCTTCTGAGAGAGAGGGTGGGCTGCTGACATCGCCTAGCTGGAGCGTTCTATTTTTAAAATGCAGTAAAGGAACTCACAGAGCAAAGGATGCACACTCCTTTTGATGGAATGTGTGTATAAATGGAAAATAATTCATACATAAGTGATTTCCGTGGGACTAAACCTTATTCTCAAAAAATGACTGTTCTTAAAAGATAATACAGGTTTTGCATTTTCACTTACTGAAACTGGGGGTGGGGGGGGGAAAAAAAAATCACATGATATAAAATATATCTGTATGTCAGTTAATATCCATATTTTGCTGGAGTAGTTAGTATATTAAAGCAATCATTTACAATTCCTGCAATGGACATAATTACAATGCAATATCTGCAAACTTGTGTAAATAAAGAATAATGAAAAGACAGAAAAATTACATGAAGAGAGAAGTACATGCAACCGTTAGGCCTAAGCATGACTCTACTACAAGTACAGTACTTTGAAATTATGAGGGATACATGGAGTTCAATCTGGCAGTTCTTGCACAAGCAATACTTCCACTGAACTGTACTTTTGCTGGTAGTATCATCATTCCCCCCCCCACTTTTATGTAGTATTTTGAAAGAGATGAAGTCAGTATCATTTTATAGATAGGGAAAGCGAGGCACAGAGCAAGCAGCAAAGTGATTTAGCACCACTGGGTGCTGGAGACCCATTGGGTATTCTCTGTACAGAACACTGCTCTACTGGAGGCTCTCAAATGTAGGAGACCAGGCCAACCCGAGGAGGAGGTAACTCTATCAGCCTGCTGTCCCCTGCACTGCCAAGGCAGGAGGATACTCTATTCATCTCCACAGAACCTGCTGCAGGTAGCCCGCTGTGCAGTCAGTGATGGATTCGTCTCTCATAAACTTGGATACAATACAGTAGAATCTGGCTCAGACAGCTGACTTTGCTCAGTCCTAGCTATACCAGCCTCCATCCAGCCATGCTGTTAAGCACACGCTTAATTTAAGCACCATATAAATCACTAATTTGGAGGCCAAGTGCTTTGTTGGACTGGGGCCAGCAAGCGTTCAGCACCATGCAGGGCTGAGTCTGCCATAAACTAAGATGCAGAGAAAGAACTGTGACCACTGAAACAGAAGCAGAAAACCAACCCAAACGGCTGTACCATGATGGTGCAGCTTGTAGGTCCGGCTAGGAGGACCCTTCCCTGGGAACAACACTGAAATGCACTCAGCCCCAGATCACAGATCAGGCATTAGTTAGGAGGTAAAAAAGATGTACAAAAAAAAATAAAGCAAAGCGTCCAAGGAAAAAGCACAAGCACCCAGCCCAACATCTCTCTCACTTCTAGCATCCGTCTCACCAACAGCAGCACTCCACGCTCAGATCGTTTAGGGTCTGGTCCAGAGTTAACCAAAGTCAATTATTGTATTTCCTTTTGCTACGAACTGGTCACACACTCAAGTTTCGCTCAGCCAGTGGGGAATAGCAAGATCCAAGTTTTTGGTTTTTTTTCCTTCTTTCCCAACACCCCAAAAGCCTGCCACTTCCAAAACGTCTACCTGCATGTATGACTCCCCTGCTACTTGAGACCCCCTTGGGGAATTTCTCTGTGGCAAATTCTATTCAAAACTGAGTCACAAGCTTCATGAAGAGCTAAGAAGTTGACTTGACAGCTCCACAAAAAAAGCACACAAAGAAACCACAGAATCTAATAAATAATAGATAACAGAATAAACCTGTCACAATAATACATTTAATTTGTATCAGATTATTTATGACCCAAATATGCATCAAAGCACTGACTGACTCCACGAATGCAGGCTATGACGGCTCTGTGATCTGTCAAGTGGATCTGCCTCACAGATGCATTTCCCATGAATCAATTTTTACGATTGCTCCTGCCCATGACGGATGAGCTTCTTGAGCTCCGCAACGACAATGAGTGGCTCTGCAAGAGCTTACAAACGAGGACAAATAGGTGGAAGCACCCAAGTCCAGGACACGTCCCTGAGTGGAATAGAGCCTGATTTTGCATCAGTGTAGTCAACGCAAAATCAACTCAGAACTACTGAGTTGTAGCTGTAGGTCCTGGCTTCCATGGTAAATTCAACTGAGCGCAGAGACAATGTTAGTCTCCCCCTGATGAGCTACTGCAGGGGTGTTTGTCCCCCTCCGCCAAACATGAGAGGGGAGCAGCCTAATGCACAGATGGAAGCACAGGGAAGGGAAGATCACTAGTCTGTTGTGCAAAATAAAGAGCACTGCACACACACTAAAGGCTTCCTCAGTTTTTTTCTCCTTCTCCTCTGACACAGCACTTTCTGCTCCCTACGTTCACCTGCGACCAAGTTAACACCCACATGGAGCCACATCTGCAGCAGCCTTCACCTCGGATGGCTGCACTGCAGGCACTCATCCCTCCACCGCCAAGGAAGCAGTGACAGAGCCGTCATAAGTCAAATGGCATTTTGTTACCCTGCTCCCAATGAGTGGCTGCTCTTCCCATTCTTGTTGGTCTAATAAAAGATCTCTCTACTACGAGTTGTGATTGTCTTTTCCTCTAGACCAATATGGCTACAACCTGGATACCTTCTCTTCCCATTTGCATTTAATGCCTTCTCAGAATATAATCATCTGGTGAACAGACACGGTGGGAAAGAGCCGAGGCAGAGGCAGGCACCCAGAGGTATCCAGAATGTGCTGCCAAGGCGGCACAGCAAGTGTGTTTACAGCGGATGAGGGCAGGTGTTATCCGCTCCATCACCAGCTTGTGTGATGTGAAGGATGTTACTTTTAGAAAAGGATCTGAAATGGCACCAGCTAAGGGTCCCACA